ATTCTTCAACAAACTAGAGCAAATAGTTCTAAAAATCATCTTGTACCAAAAAAGACCCCAAATAGCCAAAGGAATCCTGAGAAGGAAGAATAAAGTGGAGGAAGAAGGGCTATGCTCTGCAACTTGAAGCTCTACTACAAAGCCACAGTAATCAAGACAATTTGATAGTGGCACAAGAACAGAACCATAGACCAATGGAACAGACTAGAGAGCCCAGATATAAACCCACCATATATGGTCAATTAATATCTGATAAAGGAGCCATGGATATACAATGGAAATGACAGCCTTTTCAACAGCTGGTGTTGGCAAAACTGGACAGCTCCATGTAAGAGAATGAAACTGGATTATTGTCAAACCCCATACACAAAAGTTAACTCAAAATGGATCAAAGACCTGAATGTAAGTCATGAAACCATAAAACTCTTAGAAGACAACATAGGCAACACATCACCTTGGGCAAAGAGACAAAAGCAAAAATGAACAAATGGGACTACATCAAGCTAAAAAAGCTTCTGTGCAGTAAAGGACACCATCAGTAGAACAAAATGGCATCCTACAGTATGGGAGAATATATTTGTAAATGACATATCTGACAACAGGTTAACATCCAAAATACATAAACTCACATGCCTGAACAACCAAAAAGTAAATAAGCTGAATTAAAAAAATGGGTGGAGGATATGGAAAGACAATTCTCCAAAGAACTTCGAATGGTGAACAGACATATGAAAAAAAGATGCTCCACATCACTAATCATAAGGAAATACAAATTGAAACCATAATGAGATATCACCTCACACCAGTAAGGATGGCTAGCATAAAAAAGACTAAAAACAACAAATGCTGGCAAAGATGCAGAGAAAGGTGAATCCTCGTACAGTGCTTTTGGGAATGTAAACTAGTTCAACCATTGTGGAAAGCAATATGGAGGCTCCTCAAAAATCTAAAAATAGAAAGACCATTTGACCCGGGAATCCCACTCCCAAAGAATTTACCCAAAGAATTCAAGTTCTCAGATTTAAAAAGACATATGCACCCCTATGTTTATTGCAGCACTTTTTACAGTTGCCAAAATATGGAAGCAATGTAAGTGTCCATCAGTAGATGTATGTATAAAGAAGATGTGGTACATATACACAATGGAATATTATTCAGCCATAAGAAGAAAACAAATCCTACTATTTGCAACAACATGGATGGGGCTAGAGGGTATTATGCTCAATGAAATAAGCCAGGTGGAGAAAGACAAGTACCAAATGATTTCCCTCATTTGGGGAGTATAACAACAAAGCAAAACTAAAGGAAGAAAACAGCAGCAGAATCACAGACTCGAAGGGATAAACCATAACTAAAGGGGAGGGGTTGGGGAGGGTGGGTAGGGAGGGAGGGAGATGGGTATTAAAGAATAATATGATTAGTACACATGGTGTATGTGTGGGGGATCATGGGGAAAAACAGTGTAGCACAGAGAAGACTAGTAGTGACTCTGTCATCTTACTACAGTGATGGACAGTGATTGCAATGGGGCATGGGGGGGACTTGATAATATGGGTGAATGCAGTAACCACATTGCTTTTCATGTGAACCCTTCATAAGAGTGTATATCAATAATACCTTAATAAAAAATTGTAAAAAAAAAATGTTAGGCCCCTTCTATGAATCAGACATCTTTATGCACAGTATTTAATATCCTACTCATAGAAAACTTATCAGGTTTTTATTATTCAATTTTTTACAGAGTTAAAGAAAACAGATTAAGTCATTTGTTGAAAGGTACATAGCAAGGTGAGCTATGGAGACTGAAGATTCAAATTCTGTACAACTGATTCCAAAATTTTCTGTTCTTCCCATGACACCCATGATACTGCTTTGCAGCAGAAGAGCAGAGGTTGAAAGGGTATCTCGCCGCGACCCTCCTTACCCAGAATGACTCAGGAGACACGGGCCCACGCAAGAGATTTTATTATCTGAAAGAGAAAGTGGCTGCCCCAGAGGGAGGTGGGGGAGAGAGAGAGAGAGAGCACTTGGGGGAGGGTCGGGATGTTTAGAGATAAGGTGGGGGAAGCCCAGGCATAATTCTCACCGGCTTCTGTGCTTAGGGCCATGGGGTAAATGGAGGATAAATTACTGTATTCTTGTAGAGGTAGTTTTAAATGCTGTGTGATGCCATCTGTATATGGTTCAAGAACAGGCAAAACTTATCTATGATGAGAGAGGTCAGAATGGTTACTATGTTTGGCAGAGATGTCTTGGGAGCAGGAAGGAGACTTGGGGTGCTAGGCAGGTTTCACAGGTGTACAATATCCAAAGATTTATTGAGCTGTACACATAAGATTTGTGCACTTCATGGTATGTAAATCATTCCTCAAAATTAAAATAAAAACAAATTTGCTATGTACTCTGGCTTTCATAGTTCAAGAAAGTTGATATCTGGATTCTCACAATTCCTTTGTTATTGACAGGCTGCTTATTTTAGATACATTTTTCTCCTAAATAAATGGATTAATTATAAGGAATGACAACGGATCAGTCTTGCCTATTTTAAGATTATGTCTTTAATGTAACCTCTGTGGGTAAAATTGTAACATTTCCATAATATCTCGCCTGGCTTTAGTACATCTGCATATCAATAGGCGTTCAGAGGTGGAAAGAAGCATGGCTTTAGTGCATTTGCATCATTCCTGAGGTGGAGAGAAGTTCCTCTCCGTATCAGTGGGTAGTTACCTGGGCAATGGAGGGCTTATCTGTGCCTGAGAGGGGAGGGGGCGGGCAGGTTTGGCTGCGGCTTGAGCAGAAGAGATGTGCCAGACTGCAGTTTTGTAAGCAATGAACAGATTTTAAACTTTATTTCTCCCTTTGCCTGATTTCAGTTTTTAGAGGTATTTTGCCCTGAGATTTCCTCTCCCCGGACTTACAATATGCTTTCTAACAGTCCTGATTGCCACAATTATAAAACTGTGGATTTTAAGAGATGAAGAGTTGTTAAGAGACTTCTACAGTGGCTTCCACATGGATCTTTTCGAGACTTTGATGAATTAACAAAACTATAGACCTCCTCCCCAGAAATGTACATACACACTGTAAGGTAAACGAAACCAGACCAGGCAAGTGGCAACAAAGGAGTCAAAAAAAAATTTAGCGCGATCCCAGGCAAGGTTCACCGGTCCGCGTATCCACGGGTCAGGGAAGTCGCCCCCAGCAGCAGGGACGACAGGCTTATCAAGGGTGCTGGGAGAGCTCTGGGGGTACCGTGGACAGAACTCATTGGCTGGTGTGGCTGCCGTGATCACCGATGACTGGTCATGCCCAGTTGCTGGGGAGAGAGTACTGCGACGCATGTTCTAGGCGGGACCTGCGGCTGGGGACCTCCCGTTGAATCATTTGAGTGACAATCACCGTTCTCTTCCTTATTTGGCTTGAGTCAGGTTCCTCCAGTGAGACCCGTCCCTTCCTCCGGTACCTCCGGTCTTGCACGCACTGAATTTTGCATGTGATGTTGAGAATATCACACCATCTAGGATCCACCTAGCAGTACAAAGATCTCAAATTAAGGTCCTTTTCCTACAAATGAAAAAACAGGCCCAGGTTGAGAAAGCATCTTGTTTGGGAGCTGAGGGAAGACAGAACCCAGGCCTTCTGATGCTCAGATATTTATACTGCTCGTGCCATTGCTTCTTTAGATATCATTCGATTCCTTTTGCCCCAAAACTTTCATTTGTGTAGCCCTTGAGTTCAGAAGAACTTCCATAATACCTTGTTTCATAATGGGAATCACATGAGAAGCTGGTCAAACCTTCTATTTGGAGAATAAGAGATGCAAAGCTGAATTGGAGACATTTATCTTTTTCTACAGAGTGCCTCAAAACTCAGAATTGAACTTAAAATTACAATGACCCAGTAAAAAGGTTTTTTTTTGTTTTAGAGACATCAACTCTGAAGTTTTGTGTATACACACACACACACACACACACACACACACACACACTCACACACACTCTGAAAATTAAAACCTTATTCTGCATTGATCTTTATAATGTTGAAAAGATCCCATAGAATTTACTCTTTGCTCTGTAAACCTTCCAGTGGTCTGACCAAAAACAGTAAAATTCTAACCTGACCCAAGAAATTTCTCTGTTTTATGCCCACTCAATTTTTCAGTTTAGAGCAGAATTCTTGCTCCCAATTCAAGTGGAGACTGTGAGAAGTGAAAGAGGACCCATAAAGCCTTTTCTTCTGTGTGAGAAGGCCCGATCCTAAGTGGAGAAATCAGTGAAAGAAAAGGGCTCAAGCTGCAGCCTACAACTTTCTTTGGGTTTAATGTCCTCCGGATGAGGTGCATAAATTACATGTACCTGTAGATAGAGGTGGGCTGGAAGCCATGTATACATACATTCTATCCGTAAAGGTTTTCCTAGGTACTTGGAAAGGTGTTCCTTCTGTGCAATCTTTTGCTTTTCTACCTGCGTGGGTAAAGCTTACATGTATTGGACACTACCACGTATGCTAGCTACTGATGTAAAGCATTTGGAGTTGTATTATTTAAGTTAATGCTCACAACAACCCCTTGAGGTAGTCTTATTACTAGGCCCATTTTATAAATGAGCAAACAGGGTTTCCAGGGCCAAGTAACTTTGGCCAAGGTGCCAGAACTTGTAAGTCGCAAATTGAGCATCAGACACAAATCATCCGGCTCCAGTACTTGGGTTTGTTCGTCCTGCTCTGGTAAAATACGTCAAGTATAGATACGTTGAAGACTGGGAAATGGATACTGTTGGCTTGTTCCTCAAGGCAAAATATTTTTCCAGGTACTGTATTATTTTCACCCAAATCTCTAGCCTTTCTCCGTGTCGGCGGCCGGACAGTCCGCGTGGACGGGGCGTTTCGGGCGGGAACCAGCTGCCGGGAAGGGCGGGGGCGTGGCCAGCTGGGGGCGTGTCTTCCGGCGGGTGCGGCGGCGCAGCGAAGGGCCGGCCCCAGAGCGACTGCGCCGGCAGCGCCCCGCCCCTCCGCCGTGCGGTCGGCCGCAGAGCTCGCTCGGGCCTCGGCCGGTAGCCGCTCACTCCGCGCGCCGCGTTCCCTCTGCGCTCGCGCCGCTCCGCCTGCGCGGCCGCCGGCCCCCGTCCTTCCTCCGTGCGGGCGGCGCGATGCGGCCGGGCGCCGGGCCCGCCGTGCTGGGGCTGCTGCTGCTGTGCGCCGCGGGGGCGGGCGCCGGGGACGCCGAGGAGCTGCACTACCCGCAGGGCGAGCACCGCGGCGACTTCGACCGCGAGGCGCTGCTGGGCGGCCAGGTGAGGCGGCCGGGCCCCGGACGGCGGGCGCCGCGGGCTTTGTCCCGTGCGGGGCCTGGCCGGGGCGGCCTGGCAGTGGGGACCAGGCGAGGCTCCTCCTACTCTCGGGGGGACCCCGAAGCCCCTGAGCCGGGAAAAGAGAACGTGGCCCCGGAGCCGGACCCTCTGCCTTACCCGCCTGGGTGATCCCTGGGTGTTTGGGGGCCCGGGGACCTGGAGAGCAGCTTCTCCCCGAAACTCCTCGGCAGGGGAGGCTTCTGGCAGCCCTGTTTTTCTCCATCCGTTGATAGCGATGCTTGATATCCCTGTGTATCGCTTCTCCCCCAAAGGAAGAAGTCGATGAATATGTTAAACTCACCCCCGAAGAGCAACACAGAAGACTGAAGTCAATCATAAAGAAAATTGACTTGGACTCGGACGGCTTTCTCACCGAAAGTAAGGACGTCCTGCATAACAGTGGAGCCTTGTAGGAGATGCAAAAACAAACATGGAAGCAGAGGTGTCCGTTGAGTGTAGATGGCTAAGTGTTCCAACAAGTTAGGGGTACCGTTGGGGGGGGGGCATGAAACCTTTGGACGTAGGGTACCAAGTAAAACTCGGAGATTTCTCCAGGAATAAACATCATGGACCCTACATGGTATGTGAAGTCATACTTGAGCAAACACCCTATTCCTCACATGAATTTTATCAATGTCAACAGTATGATTCATTTTAGAGAAACGTGTCAAAAACGATCTTACGGCATTGAATGATTTATTGCTCTTTTGATACATGCTTCCCATGAGCATTTTAAGTATTTGCTTTTTTATAAGCAAAAAGAAAAAGACTTGTTGCTGTGAATTATGTTTATCACAAATAATTGCATCTGGTAGGGGCATTAGAATCATCTTTACAGCTCTTTTTGTAAAAATGAAAGGTACCAGAGGGGTAAGTGCCTTTCTCCAATGAATTGCAAAGCCAGGACTAGAATCCAAATCTCCAGCTCTTAATTCAATTTTTAGTATCCTTCACTTAAAAAAAAAGAATCTGCTCTTAAGTAGGTTCTCTAGTCAGAAATGAAATGCACAGATTATCAAAAGAATATTCCAAATAAATTGCTGTGCAACTGTCTCTTCTCATTGCTTTACTCAAGCAGAGAACACTATCAACATTCCACGTTGATCCTCCAAAAACCTTTAGGAGCTAGTTTGCTGTAACTCTTAAATGCTGCTCAGCATCTAAGAAATAAAATTGTTGGAGAGAGAATTGTAGACCAGTTGATAGATTTAAGATGTTTTGTCAGTAAAGTATTTACATCGGTACCCTCAGGAATATTAAGGTTCTGGTTCCTTCTTAAAACAAACAGTAAAACCTTCACAGACTCTAGTTATCCAATAAGAATAGGTCTGTCTTAGGTTATACTACAAAGCAAACGAAACAAGTGATTTTGGAAGAACTTGATGGTACCTGTCTGTAAGGGCCTAGATAAAGTTCAGATATTTAATAGTAAACTTTTTAAAAGTTGAAAGCTATCTTAATTTTGACAGATGAGAAAACAAAACCTGGAGAGGGTAGACTTCCCCATTATGGTGGAACGTAAGTGGGAATCCAAGTTTCTGGTCCCCGTTCGATTCTGTATTCTGTCAAACCATGATGGTCTCTAAGTGAACTGGAAGAAACCCTCGTTCTCATTGAGAGATCCTTCAGGGATTTCTGCTAATTTGCACTATTAGGGCCAGGACTAGATTCAGGTTCTTGAGAGATGACAAAATTCAGTGAAAGGAGTTTGGCTTTGAAGCCAAACATAGGTTTGAATCTGGACTCTGTTAGTTATTGTGAGTCCTCAGTTCTAAATCACAACTTCCTGAACTGTAAAATAGTAATTATAATTGCTTTGTTTTCAAGATTAGAGACAACATGTCTAGAGGACCTGATATATAGTAATTGTGCAATACATAGTTGCCATAATAATTAATATTCGCCCCTGATTTAGTTTCAGAAGGGAAAATGTCATTACTTTTCTGTTCACCTGACCTCCTTAACAACCAAGAGGGGAGTACCACACTTTAAAGCAAATGGTGTATTACCTTTAAACCAAATGGTATACTCCTGCTGTCTTTGCAAGTATTCATGTTCTCTATTCCCCTTTTTCCTATAATTCTGCATATTAAATACCTCTATAAATAGATTTTTTAGAAGTGTTCATCTAAAAGTGGACCATTTGAGACTTAGAAACTTTCCCCCATATCTTCAGGTACCAAGTTAAGACAGCTGCTGCAACAAGGGGGCATAAATCATAATTGCTACCCATAACTTTGTTAAAATGTCATCCAGATGTTTTACGGCATGTGAGAGGGAATATACCAACCATAATGGTTCTCAAACTTCAGTCATTTGAATACTTTTCACAATTTAGGCCATATCTACTTGCCATCTCTTATTTCATTAATACAGTTTTAATTTAACTCAATATAAAATTTATTTTAAAGGAAAACTGTTAACTTTCATAAATGAAAAACACTACTTTTTCCAATATATTTTAAAATAAATAAGTAGTTATTCAAATATTTGTGCTTCATGAGAGATCTCTAATGGTTATCTGCAATTTTTTAGATAGAATTTTATTTAAGTCAAGTGCTATTTCAGCCAATAGGTAATTCATTTAACATGTACTTATTGAATCAGGTACTTCATAGGTATTTGGAGTACCTCTCTGAACAAAACATACCTAAAATCTTTGCACTCAATTTACATTCTATCTAGATCACATATTATGATATTCTTAAGACTCCAAACAGCTCTCC